ATTTTTATTTGTTTTATTTGTTTTTATTTTTATTTGTTTTATTTGTTTTTATTTGTTTTTATTTGCGCCTTTATTGATGTATTTGAAGGGGTTTTATTTGCATGTGAGGGGAGTAAAAGTCATCTGGACACAGTGGAGCTTTGGCCTCATCATTTCCTGGATAAGGTTACGTCTCTACAAATATAGAATCGTCCTATATTCCACAGAAAAGTTGTTTTTAATCGATGCAGGACGGCGGTTTGTCCTATTTCTCTGAGTTGTCCTGAATGCAGCTTCATCTTCTCCATGTTTGGCATCAGGCCACAGCTGGATCAGGTCAGAGATCCAGGATCTGAGCCAATCGGAGGCAGAGGAGGAAGTTCAGACATGAAGTTATCGTCCAGAAATGATGACTGATGGTGTTTTTAATTATCTCTTAACATAATATGAACCAGTTTTAATAAAAATATCACAAATAATTATCTGCTGGGTTATGTGCATTCTTTACATTTTTTATTTATTGGTAATAAATCCATTTTGTTCTGATCTTTAGAACCAAGGTTCTGATCTTTTAAAGGGCTGCAGCAGATTCAATCATAAATGTGGGGGTCTGTCACGGTGGGCAACAGGTTTACAGCCTGGCTGCACAAACCCTGACGTCCTGAAGCTCACAAACTGCAGCAGAAATGTTTCTTGTTGTTGTTGTTGTGTGTCCATCAGGTGAAGCTGCACCTTCACAGTGATGAGACGAGTGGAAGCAGCTGTGAGCTGCTGGGTTATCATGGGAATTATGATGCGACTAAACTAGATTAGCATGTGTAGACAGCATTTCAGCTGAAACACTGATGCAGTGTGTAGGTGTGTGTTTGTGTACGTGTGTGTAGGTGTGTGTGTGTGTGCAGCCCCAGGTGTCACAGAGACGATGCAGCAGCTCAGCCTCCTGACCTTTTTCAGAGTTTTGCTCGTGGTTTGACTCTTTCAGAGTGGGATTAGAAATCAAGTCTGGATCATGTATTAATAATAATCACTTCAAACAAAAGCATGAGCATGAATGTCATGTTGTCATGCTTCTGACTGCAGACCTCATCTCTGCAGACCTTCAGACCTTCAGCTCTGCAGACCCTCAGACCCTCGGCTCTGCAGACCCTCAGCTCTGCAGACCCTCAGACCTTCAGCTCTGCAGACCCTCAGCTCTGCAGACCCTCAGACCTTCAGCTCTGCAGACCCTCAGCTCTGCAGACCCTCAGACCTTCAGCTCTGCAGACCCTCAGACCTTCAGCTCCTCAGACCTTCAGCTCTGCAGACCCTCAGACCTTCAGCTCTGCAGACCCTCAGCTCTGCAGACTCTCGGCTCTGCAGACTCTCAGCTCTGCAGACTCTCAGCTCTGCAGACCCTCAGCTCTGCAGACTCTCAGCTCTGCAGACCCTCAGACTCTCAGCTCTGCAGACTCTCAGCTCTGCAGACTCTCAGCTCTGCAGACCCTCAGACCTTCAGCTCTGCAGACCCTCAGCTCTGCAGACTCTCAGCTCTGCAGACTCTCAGCTCTGCAGACCCTCAGACCTTCAGCTCTGCAGACCCTCAGCTCTGCAGACCCTCAGCTCTGCAGACCCTCAGCTCTGACTCCACACAGTCTGCACAGAAACCCAACAAACACACATTTATATACCTGAAAACGTCATCTTTTAGCTCCGCCTACAACTGCTCAGGATCTGAAATCACCTCAGTTCCACCCACAGAGCAGAGGTTCCAACCTCTGTACACCTGTGTACACCTGTGTACACCTGTGTCCCTCTGACATGTTTATCATCCCACTGGTTCCCCTTCAGTCAAACATAATAATGATCCTTCAAAACTATAACTACAACTGATTAATATTTATTTAACCCTCTAGAACAGGGCTCTGCAACCTGTGGCTCTGGGGCCACATGTGGCTCTTTGGTCCCTCTGCAGTGGCTCTTTGAAAATATGACCAAACATATTTTTGTTTGTTTGTTTTGTTTTTTATTCTCACAACACTAATAAACTGTATGTAAATATGTAATCAATACTGCTAATATAAAAAGTAAAACATGTTAGCTCGGGCTAGCCTGTTGTCTACCTAAATAATCCAACTTCTTTATGATTTTTCATTCAAATCCATCAGGATTATCTTAAATAATAAGTATTAGGGAAAAATGTCTGATTAATTCAGCTGTATAAGTTTTTATGAAATTCTATATAAACTATAGTCAGTATTTTTCTTGTTATGTTTTTTTCTTCAGTCCTGAAATGTAAAAATAATAAATAATAAAATTCACTATATATTTTTTAGGTTTATGTCACCTCCACTGGCCATAAAGGTTCATGAAAAGGTCTTGAAAAGGCCCACGAACCACCAGTTGATAATCACAGTTGTAACATATTTTGCAGAGCCCTGAACAAGAACATTTAATTCTCAGGTATTTTATTCTTTTCAACTCAAATTAAACATGAAGATAAAAGTTTTGCCTGAAAGGTGAATAAGTTCTTAAATAAATACAGCAGGTGCAGCAGCATCCAAAATACATCGAATGAGCAAATTCTGTTTTATTCTGGATTCTGTTTACTTTTTACATGTTGCAGAAATCATAGGGCCCTACATGTCTCAGTCCTGTTTGTGTTATTTTTACACACCTGTGAAAGTTTACGCCCTGTAACGTGCTCACATACACCTGGTTGAATCACTGCCACAGAGAACACACCTCTAAACTGTTTCCTGTGATCTGTCTGAAAACACCTGGAGATTTATTCAAATATAAAATAAACACAAAACATCTAGTTTTAATGTTTTTACTCTCTAAAGGGTTTTTAGTGGTTAAATAATGTTTTCATCAACCTGTGAATTATTATTCAGATTTTATTAATTGATGGGAAAATGTCTAAATTTCCACGATCGTTGACGAGTTGTTAAAAACTTCATGAAAACCAAAAAGTTTGACATGTTAAAGAGTTTAAACAGTTTGTTTTCTGAACGAAGGCCTTCAGTTGAACATGTGTCAGCAGCAGAACTCACTCTGGCCCACTTTCATCACCATCTTCATGGACTTGGTTCTGCAGACTCCTCCCTCCTGGTTGTCGATGCCCTCCATGGTGCCGTTAGATGTGGCTGCAGGAGGAACACAGGAGGTTACAACCTGAACGTGCACACATGGCAGGGTGCGTGCACACACACACACACACACACACACACACACACACACACAC